TGCCATTCAGTGTCTCTGGGCTTATCTCTGGGCCTGATCAGAGAGGCGGAGCTGATCAGCAGCCCCCAAGGAGGCCCAGGGAGAAACAGAGGCGTGGCTGCTGGCAAAACCTGGAGAGAAAGAGGCTGCAGATCAGACCCTGCCTCTCTCTTCGGGCCTGATCTGCAAGCCCCCCTCAGCAGTCAGTGCTGCATCCCCACGGCAGTTGAGCCTTTGGTTGGTCGTTATGGATTTGGGTTTTTATATATTAGGATGGTATAGCTTTATGGCTCCTAGACTACAAACCTATATGTATAGCATGTTAATGCACTGAATACTGTATGCAACTATAGCACAATGGTAAGTATTTGTTTATCTAAATGTAACAAGAGTACAATAAAAGTATGGTATAAAAGACAGAAAATGATACACCTATGTAGGGCACTAACCATGAACTGAAAATTGTTCTAAGTCAGTGAGTGAGTGAGTGGTTCATAGGGTTGACATTTAACCACTGAACTACACTGACCAGGCTGATCATACAATCTTGAAGAACAAGAACAAAGTGATGGAAGGATTTGTATCGGGCTCATCTTGAGATGTCAATCTTCAGAAAACATGTCCACAAGGTTTGCTTGGTTTCTTTTTTCCATCAGATTTGCTTCTAAGCAGATACTGTACCATAAACATTTCTGTTAATGAAAGTATTGAGGTCCCTATTTTGAACTTTTTAAGGAGCTTGTTATAAGGTCTACAAAAGCTTTTGCTAAACCCTCCATTGTAAATTTTATTGGAGGGATAGGGGGGTTTTCTTTTTCCTTTCCTGCAATTTTGCTTTCTCTTGCCTCGTTTTCAGGTATGTGTTCCTGTTCCAATTACAATAACTCCCCATTAGTCAACTATTCAGGAACCTTTAAAAGCTGCTCAATGTCATCCTTATCCAAATAGGTTAAAGTTGTTTGCCATCTTAACCACATCTTGTTGATTTTTGCAACCTCCTCATGCTTGGCAAATCCTCTGAAGTCACACAAGAACCTCTTGAATGTCTGCTTCCAGATGCCATTCATACACTCTTTGGTGACACCACCCCAAGCTTGAGTAAGGTTCTTGTTGCAGTCAAAAATGTTATAATCCTTCCAGGAATGCATCAGTGTCTTCCTCAGCTATAGAAAAGCCTGGGAAAGGTCCTCCACCAGGTGGTAGGCCTTAAAAGCTGCTATAACTCCTTGACTGCATCAAAGAGTTGATTTTGGAGGGAGATTTATATACCCTTAATTCTATAAGCTTTTCTCTATTTAAATTTTTTTAATTTTATTTTTTTATTTTGTGTGCAAGAGGCAGCAGATCAATAATTCTCTCTCATCACTCCCCTCCTCTCTGAAATCAATCAAAATATATATGTATATATAAAAGATTATATGATCACTCAATTTCATTTCTAGAGTAACCACTCAATGTGGCTGCTTAGTGACAACATTAGCAGTGGATATTTGTACACTAGAGGCCAAGATGAGCAAAACACAAGATTAAATCAAGCACTAAAGAAAATGACGCAATCAAGAGATGCAGCCCTAGCCGATTTGGCTCAGTGGATAGAGCATCAGCCTGCAGACTGAAGGGTCCCAGGTTCAATTCCGGTCACAGGTACATGCCCAGGTTGGAGGCTTAATCCCCAGTAGAGGGCATGCAGGAGGTAGCCAATCAATGATTCTCTCTCATCATTGATGTTTCTTCCTCTCTGAAATCAATAAAAATGTATTAAAAAGCAAAGAGGTGCAATAAATATGAGATATCTAATCTGTTCCCAGCATAAAAAGGCATACTGTGCTATGGCAAACTTTTTTTATGTAAATACAGTAGTCTCTAAAATAATAAAGTGTCCTGGCCGGTATGGCTCAGTGGATATAGCATCAGCCTGCAGACTGAAAGGTCCACGGTTTGATTCTGGTCAATGGCACATGCCTGAGTTGCAGGCTTGATCCCCAGTGGGGATGGGGGGTGGGGGAGGTGTGCAGAAGGCAGCCGATCAATGATTCTTTATCATCAATTATGTTTCTATCTCTTTCTCCCTCTCTCTTTATGAAATAAAAATGCTTTTTAAAAAATAATAAAAAGTATAATACAGTAAATTCATAAACCAATAGCATAGTTGTTTACTATTATCAAGCATTATGTACTGTGTACTAGTATTATTGTGTGCTATCCTACCTTATAAAAGAGTAACATGCAAATTAACAATCACTCTGCTCAAGCCACGCCCACCAGCCGATCAGAGCGAGTATGTAAATTAACCCCAGCCAAGATGGCTATAGCCATAGAGAACAATTGAGAGAGGCTGGGGCTCCACACACCCTGGCCAGCCTAGGCCTCCACTCAAGGCTACAAAGTTTCAATTATATAAGATACAGTACATGAATCCCAACAGAAAGGGCTGGGCTAAGGACCACAGAGCGAGCAGGGGCTTGGCTCCGCTCCAGGCTACAAAGTTTCAATTGTAGAAGGTAAATTCCAGATACCAGGACCTCTACTTGGGTTGCCATGGGGCATGGCCAGCCTGCAAACTACCACAGGCCCCTGGCCCAGGCCACCCCATATCCCAATGGAACACCCACCCTGATCCAGGACACCCTTCAGGGCAAACCAGCTGGCCCTCACCCATGCACCAGGCCTCTATCCTATCTAATAAAAGAGTAATATGCAGATTGACCATCACTCCAACACACAAGCTGGCTACCATCTGGTCAAAGATCCTGCCCCCATGTGGACACAAGATGGCCAGCAGGGGAGGGCAGTTGGGAGGCACCAGGCCTGCAATGAGGGCAGTTGAGAGGGACCAGGTCTGCAAAGGAGAGCAGTTGGAGGCGATCAATCCTGCAGGGGAGGGCAGTTAGGGGTGGCCAGGTAAGCAGAGGAGGGAAGTTGGGGCAAACAGGCTGGCAGGGGAGCAATTAGACATCAATTAGGCTGGCATGGGAGTAATTAGGGGGTGATCAGGCTGGCAGGCGAGAAGTTGGGAGCCAGCAGTCCTGGATTGTGAGAGGGATGTCCAACTGCCTGTTTATACCCGATCCTGGTAGTGTCCCAGATTGGAGAGGGTGAAGGCTGGGCTGAGGGACACCCCCCTATCCCGTGCATGAATTTCATGCACTGGGCCTCTAGTATTATTATAATGTCTTCCTCATACTAGCATCACCACAAACACAATGCATTTTTATCCTACATGATGACACAGCTATCACATCACTAGGTGACAAGAATTTTTTAGCTCCATTGTAATTTATGAGACTTCCATCCTATTGATATATTCAATTTATTAACTAAAACATCATTATTTATGTTTGAAGGAGTCCTATAATAATCCTTACATAGGATAACTTATACAGGAGATCTGATGGCTGACCTGTATGTTAAATGCAAATTTCAGAATTTGAATTACTTTAGGGATTTAACAAAATATATGCAAGTAATGAGTGTATGTATATGTACAATGGCGATTTGAAATATTAAATCTGTTGTATAGTGTATATAAGCAAGTTGACAGCACAGTACCTGCTGTACCACCCTAAGGTCAATCATACAATCAAACAACTTCATAATCAGAAGAGCAGACAAACACATGTTGCAAAGTTGTCTAGCAAATCATTCTTACAATGACATGATTTATAAAATGGAAGATCAGTTTTAAAACCCTTTTAAAGCCAGGCCAGCGTGACTCAGTGGTTGATCATGGACCTAAGAACCAGGAGATCACAGGCAGCCAATCCATGATTCTCTCTCATCATGGATATCTATCTCTCCCTTCCTCTCTGAAATAAAAACATTAAAAAAAAAAAAACTTTCAAAAATAATTGTGTTGTTTGGATATTTCTGTTCTTTCATTCTTATCTTCTACTATATGAAAAGAGTTCTTTAACTATGACTTCTTAGGCACCTCCATTCCTCCCAAGTGCAGATAATGAAGTTTATAAATGCCATATCTTAGAAAAAGATGGTAAACTATTAGTATTAGGGCAAAATTGTAATTACTACTATTGATACTTCTATAATACAATGATCTACTGATCATGGTTTATTTGTAGTATATTACTGCCTTTTGGGGAGGAGCAACTAAATCAAAATATCAGCTAAAGGTTTAAAATTTTTCATACCTGAGATGGAGAAGAGCTATGACCAGGGAATGATAAATATTTCAAAATACTGCCAAAGAATAATGAAGCCCTTGCAAATGTGGTTCAGTGATTAGAGCCCTGGCCCATGCACCAAAGGGTCTCAGGTTTGGTTTCGATCAGAGCACATATACCCATGTTGTGAGTTCAATCCCCAGTTGGGGCATGTGCATGAAGCAATCAATCACATCAATGTTTCTCCCTCCCTCCTCCTCTTGAATCAACAACAACAAAAAATTCCAACAGTGAGGATTTAAGAAAAAGAACAACAAAAAGAGGCGGCTTCCCTAACCAACTCTAGGAATTTCAAGTACAATAACCACAGAGAGACAAACTATTCATTTGATGAACTACTTCAATATTAAGCAACCTATAGAAACAGACTCACAGAGAACATACTGACGACTGCCAAAGGAAAGGGAGGGTGGGGGTGGGGGGCCGTGCTGGATAAAAAAAGGTGAAGGGATTAAGAAGTAAAAATTGACAGTTACCGGATAGTCCTGGGGATGTAAATTAAAGCATCAGACATACAGTCAATAATACTGTAATAACAATGTATGGTGTACTTGAAATATTTGGGGGACCATCTTGTGAAGTTTATGATTATCTAACCACTATGCTATACACCTTAAACTAATATAGAATACTGAATGTAAATAGTAATGGGAATAAAAATCCAAAGTAAAAAAATATATATATTAAAGTTATCTGAAGTCCTAGGGAATGTATATGCTACCTTGTACACTTTTATTTTTCTCAAGCTGCTCATTTAAATAAAAAGAAGCACTTAAATAAGTGATTTCAAATTTCTGATCAAATCAAAACTTAAAGCATAATATCTAATAGTCTACTTACCATGAAAATCTGCACCCAACTTCTTAGAAGCCATTTAGAACCTGAAAAACAAAGAAATATTTCTTAGACTCATGATGTCTTGAGAAAATATAAACAAATAGTTACAAGAAAATTGGCTGGGTGGCTTAGTTGGTTAGAGCATCATCCTGATATGCCAAGTTTGCAGGTTCAATCCCCGGTCAGGACACATACAAGAATCAACCACTGAATGCACAAAGAGATGGAACAACAAACTGATGTTTCTCTCTCTAAAATCAACAAAAATAAAAAACTTAAAAAAAAATTTTTTTTAAAGAAAATTGAAGCTATAAACAGGAAATCAGAAAACTTAAAGGTAACAGGACTGACATAGTCCTCAAATTTCTCAGTTCCAAAGTCTTGAAAAAAGAAAGCAAAGCCTGGCCGGTATGGGTCAGTGGTTGAGCATCCACCTATGGCATAGTTAGAGTCCAGGTCAAGACACATACCCAGATTGCAGGCTCAATCCCCAATAAAGGAACCTCAGGAGATAGCCAATCAATGATTTTCTCTCATCATTGATTTTTCTAAATCTCTCTCCCTCTTCTTTCCTCTCTGAAATCAATAAAAACATATTTAAAAAAAAAAAAAAAAGACAAATTTCTGAGGTGGGAATGAATGACATACAACCTTTGTACTGTTTTAATTCTGTATACTTTTTTTTAAATGAAGGGGGGGAAAAACATAAAACCACACATCTAGTTTAATATTATCTTTGCACTTCCAACCCCTAGATAAGTAAGTAGGTGCAAAGTCTTTTCTTACACAAATACTCTCAGCTCTTCAACCTAAAGTTTATCTCCCTTGATATGGCATGGTGTTTATACCTTTAATTTACCTATGACATAAGCAGAAAAAAAATAAGACTAAGTATATAGCTTTATGTATAGTGTCTATTAATCTGCACTATAGTATATTGCAAGGCATTGTAGTGAAAACATTTTATTTCCAACTGTTAGCTTTTTTAGGATCTTTTTTTCTTTTTTTTCTTTTTTAATTCTCACCCAAGGATATGTTTTTACTGATTTAGAGAGAAAGAAAAAATACTGATCGGTTGCCTGATTGGGGAACAAACCTGCAACCAACGTATGTACCCTGATAGGAAATTGAACTCACAACCTTTTGGTGACACGCCAACCAAACTGAGCCACCAAGCCAGAGTTGGGACTTTTTTTTAAAGAAACAAACAAGTTAATTTTAAAATTTACATGGAAAGAAAAAGGAAATATAATAGCCAAAACAATTTTGAAAAAGATGTTGAATTTACCATCAAGTTAACTATGAGGCTACACTAATTAAAAACTGTGGAAACAGTGTAAGGAAATCACATAGACCAACAAAACAGAGTCCAGAAATAGACTCATACATATATAGACAAATGATTTTTTTGTTTATTAATCCTTACCAAAGGATATTTTTTCCACTGAGTTTTAGAGAGTGGAAGGGGGGAAGTAGGAGTGGTGGGGAAGAGACTCACACGGATTAGTAACCTCCCACAGGTGCCCCAACTGGGGCTGGGGATCAAACCTGAAACCCAGGTACATGCCCTTGACAGGAAATCAAATCTGCATCCTGAGACTCTACAGCTCAGGCTCACAGGGCCAGCCAAATGACTTTAAACAAAGGTACAAAGGAATTTCAAAGGGGAAAGGTAGGTCTTCTCAAAAAATGGTGCCAAACATTCATATGCAAAAACGAAAACGAAAAAAAAAAAAAAAAAAAAAAACACCTACCCTTAATCCATACCTTGCACTATATAAAAAAATTGAGAAGGATGGAAAAATCATAGCTAAGGGCTACAAGGGTTCTTTCTGGGGTTATGAAAATGTTCTAAAAGTGATTGTGGTGAGCCAGACTGGGGTAGCTAAGCATCATCCTATGGACCAAGAGGTTCTGGGTTCAATACCAGGTTGTGGACTCAATCCCCAGTAGGGGGCATGCAGGAAGCACCCAATCAATAGATGTGTCTCTCTCAACATTGATGTTTCCATCTCTCCCTCTCCCTTCTGCTCTGAAATCAATAAAATATATTTTTTAAAAGTAAAAGTGATTGTGATGATGACTGTACAACTTAATATTCTAAAATCCACTAAACTATACATTTTAAATGGGTAAACTAAATGTGGTATACTGAAGCACCACAACCCCATGGATGAATCTCAAATGTATCATGGTAAGTCAAAGAAGCCAGACTCAAAAGGTTACGTACTATGTCATTCCATTTATTATATTCTGGAATGGGAGGCAGAAAAGAAATCTAGCCTACCAGGGACTGATAACGGAAGGAACTGACTATAAAAGGGAACACAATAATTTTTTTAGGTTGACAGAACTGTTCTATATTTTATTGTATACTGTTTACATGACTATATGCATCTATCACAATTCACAGAAAACAGGATAAAATTTACTACATGTAAACTGTACTCCAACGTTTAAAATACATATATGTCCATCACACTGAAATTAGATAAAATAGAATCACTGAGTAAATACTACTAATATTTTTAACCCATCCTAGTGGAAGAAAATTTTATTTTTTAAAATGCTAGAATTCAAAATAACAAGTTATACAGCTGTATCAAATTCTATTAGTATGCTTTCTCACTGATGGACAAGGGTTTTCTACAATGATATATATGGTTTCTAACAATGGATTTCTTCCCTATTTAAAAGCAAAACAAAAATGTAAGTTGAAAAAAAAAATTGATTTTAGAGAGGGAGGGAGGAAAAAAGAAACACTGGTCAGTTGCCTCCCACCCACGCCCCGACCAGGATTTGAACCTGCAATCTGGATATGTGCCCTCACCGGGAATCAAACCCACAACCTTTTTGATGTACAGGACAACACTCCAACCAACTGAGCCACACAGACCAGAGCTGAACACTGTTCAATTGTATTTTTTTTTAAATATATATTTGCCGAAACCGGTTTGGCTCAGTGGATAGAGCATCGGCCTGCGGACTGAAGGGTCCTGGATTCAATTCTGGTCAAGGGCATGTGCCTTGGTTGCAGGCATGTCCCCATTGGGGGGTGTGCAGGGGGCAGCTGATCGATGATTCTCTCTCATCAATGTTTCTAACTCTCTATCCCTCTCTCTTCCTCTCTGTAAAAAATCAATATATATATATATATATATATATATATATATATATATATATTTTGATTTCAGAGAGAAAGGGAGAGGGAGAAACACCAATGATGAGAGAGAATCACTGATAGGCTGTCTCCTGCACACCCAACACTGGGTATCCAGCCTACAACCTGGGCATGTGTCCTAAACCGGAATTGAACCATGATCTCCTGGTTCACAGTCGATGCTCAACCACTGGGCCACACCAGCTGGGCAAACTGTATTCTTAAATGGGTGAACTGTATGACATATGAATTATATTAATAAAGCTTTTACCAGGAGAAAGTAGCTCTAAATTTGATAAGCTGTGCAACTAAAGAATGATTATTTAGGAATAGAGAAAGGAAACAAATGAATAACATCTTTTCACTTTCACAATGGCTATTATGAATGAAATAACTAATAGTTTTACTTATTGGTAAAATAATTTTATTCATTGCCGAAACCGGTTTGGCTCAGTGGATAGAGCATCGGCCTGCGGACTCAAGGGTCCCAGGTTCGATTCCAGTCAAGGGCATGCATCTTGGTTGTGGCCAAATCTCTGGTGGGGGGTGTGCTGGAGGCAGCTGATCAATGTTTCTCTCTCATCAATGTTTCTGGCTCTCTGTCCTCTCTCTTCCTCTCTGTAAAAAGTCAATAAAATATATTTTTAAATAAAAATAATTTTATTCATTAATTTTATAATCTGTAGAATAATAAATTCTCTTCAGTTTCATGCAACCCATAAATTAACAAATAATTAGTATTCAAAGTATATAAAGAATTCTTAAAAATCAATCAAAAAAAGAAACAACTCAATAAAAATAGACAAAAAACTTCATAGGAGCACAAATGTCCAATGAACATATGAAAAGATGCTCAACTTCAGAAAATGCTAATAAAAACATAATAGATACCATTTCAAACCCACTACATTAGAAAAATTTTTTAAGTTTGACAATATCAAATGTTAGGGAGGAAATGAAGCACCCAAAACACACACTGCTGGCTCTTGACTCCATAAGCACAATATTCACATTTACCATGAGCCAATTCAATGACTCAAGAACTGGAAGTGTTTGGTAAGTATTAAGCAACTGATAATGACCAATCCAGAATTCTGAGAACATGTTCGGAATACTGCCAAATACAAATTTTGGCCCTTAATGAACTGGATCCAACCTGACTCAGCAATAAAAATATAAGACTTTTAGTCCCTTATCCAGTTTCTCTAGCATATTTTGTTAAGTACAAAATAGTCATTTACTCGTAGAATATTGATATCTTAATTGACTAAAATTTTAATAAAGTATTTATCATTATAGTAATACTTCTATTTCAATGAGAAGCGGTTTTAAATGACATAACTTTAAAATTAAAAAGTGCTTACACTTTAAATTTGACAGGAATTAGAATGGCTGTGACCACTTTAGAGGGACAAAATGGTGTAACGATGCAGAAAATACTTAGAATTTTAGTCACTGAATTAAATTTTGAAATCGCATTTTAAATACCTTACTCTAGTCAAAACATAAAAGATAAACAAGATAAAGTGACATTTGCCAATCCTAGATAAAAGTGCTCTAGCAACCATTATTGAGAATTGTTTACAGATCTAATATTATTTTACCAGGATACTATGATCAAAATCAAATTGAAAAATCAAATCTCAGATATACATAAAATATGCCATAATAAGATAATGCATCAAATACAAAAGAAAAATTCAGAAAGTTCTTTTATTCATACTTTAATTTTCTTCCTGTCTTTATTTCTAAAACTAGAGGCCCAGTGCATGATTTTGTGCATGGGTGGGCCGATTGAGAAGGCTGGCCAGCCATGGGGAGGGACTGCAGGAGGTTGGCCCCAGCAGCAAGCTAACCACAAGGAATCAGGCTCCCTC